TTCCTGCTGGCTGCTCTTCCCCTTCCCAGCCCCTTCAAGTAGTTAAGCCATACAATAAATCATTTAGTTTCTGAAATAGGGTGCTACTCAAGTCTATAAAAGTTATGGAGGATTGCCTCATCTAAAAATATATACAATTACAGCCATAGAGCCTACTGCTTATTTGACAGCTTTTACTCCTTGTCATTTTAAACATCAGTTTAGCTCGGGGATAGGCAATCCGTGGCATGCATGCCAATTAGTGGCACACAGAGACATTCTTCCTCGGCATGCCAGGTGGTGTGCGAGGAAATTGTTTAAATTTTTTTTTTTTTTTTTTTTTTTTAAGTTGCTGCTCCCACCTCCCGAGCAGCCACAGGTTCCAGTGGCACTGGGGGTGGAGTCAGGAGAACTCGGGCAGGGTCAGGGATACTGACTGTGTTCTGCTGACCCCACCCCCTGTCCCTGGGCTGTGCCCTCCAGCCCACCCAGCCCCTGGAGGGGAGCTGTGGGAAGGTGAGGCCAGGGCCCAGGCAGACACTATGGAGGGCCGCTATGCTGGAGGCTTCTGGCCAGCTTGGCCCCAAGCGTTGCCTGCAGCAGCTGTTCCTGGGACACAGGAGGCTCCTGTGGCCTAGCCCTTGCACTGGGGTGGGACTCTGCCCCACTTGTGCTGTGCCCAGTATGCAGGGAGGCCAAGCCGGGAGCCCCCTGAGCCTGGGAAACTGCCCCGGCCAGGCATAATCTCCTCACGGGCAGGACAGCTGCAGCTCATCCCCACAGAGCTGTGTGGGCCATGCCCCATCTCAGGTGCTGCTAGGTGCCTGCCCACCTGCCGTGGCCCAAGTCTGCAGAGCTCTAGGGGAGCTCCTGCTTCCCACCTGGCACCTGCTGTCCTCCAGCTGCTACCTTGTCAAGGGCCTGGCAGGGCTGGCCTGCCTACAGTGCCTCCCCTCACACCTACTTCTCCCTGTGCCACCCGGACCCTGCCCTGAGCACCCAGCCCTGGCACTGAGCACCCTGGTGCTGCCCCCACCCAGGTGGGATGGGGCATCTGTCTGCTCGAGCCCTGGACCCAGGCTCCCCCTGCTCCAGGACCATCAGGGGGGCCTAAGTGCCCCAGCCGTGGTGGCTGCTCCTGGGATGTCACTGCCTCTCTACTGGACACTGCCCTGGACTAGCAGGCCTGAGCCACAGCTGGTAGCGTTGGGAGGCATGGGTGGCGAGGGATACACCCTCTTCCTCTCTTCCTTTTTTTTCTCTCTTCTTTCTGTTTCCCTTTCTCTCTCTTTCTTTTCTTCTCTGCTTTCTCTTGTTTTTATTTTTGTCTCTTTTTTTCTTTCCTCTTTTTCTTTCTCGTCTCCTCTTTTCTCTCCTTTTCTTTTTTCTCTTCTTTCTTTTTCTTTATTCTTTCTCACCCTCTTTCTTTTCCTCCTCTCTTCTCTTTCTCCTCTCTTTTTTCTCTTTTTCTATTTCTTCTTTCTCTCCTTTTTCTTTCTCTTCCTTTATCTCTCTCCCTCTCTCTCTTCTCCCTCTTCTTTGTCTCTCTTTTCACCTCTTTTTTCTGTCTCTCTTTCTCTTCTTTCTCTCTCATCACAACATGCTTAACAAAAAAAATACACCAGAACAAAGGATACTGTAAAAAAAAAAAAAAAAAAAAAAAAAAAAAAAAAAAAAAAAACAAAACAAAAAAAACCCCAACATTTTTGATTAACTATATTAATATGCAGTGCGTCCTGCCATGTAACCCCTGCCCTGGTTTTGTTTTTCTGGCATACCAGCACTCTGGCACCTTGCAAGGTAGACATTGCGTTTTTTTCAGCACTCCGGCCAAAAACATTTCCTACCCCTGCTTTAACTCATGTTTTTATATACAGCTATTCAAGGAAGGCATACCAGCATTTCAATGGTCTTAAAGATCCCTGAAATGTTGTTTGTAAGTGGTGGAAAACATATCTAGCTAATGGTATTTCTTATCAGTAAAATCCTGGCCCCAGTGAAGCCAAAGCTCCAATGATTTTCCTCCATTTTTTTGAGAGGACTAATAAGTATGATGCTCTCTCCAATCAGAAGTTTAGTTTAACACAGAAGATGTACCAATTCTTGGTTGAGAGATCACACTTTCTCAAGTAAGCTAATATTTTGAGTGTAAAATGTTTTTTATAATAAAAAATAATCTGATAGCTCCAGGGTTCTCATTTACTTATAGTAAACTGACATGTATAAACAAATTGCTGTGAATGGGAGACTAGATGTGCTGTAGTTTTGTGAGACTACATTTTGCTCTAATAGATTTTTTTTTTAATGTCCCTAAGCAATATTTTTGCTATATTGAATTCAAGATGTGCCTGTTTTCATAAACAACTCAGTTAAAAATATTCTATCATCCTTTTGTCAGCTGGTATAATATTATCCCATACAGAAAATGGTATTAGCTGTAACCTTGACATGAAATTACTTAAGACTCTGGAAGACTTGTTAAATACTAAATATTAGTAGTTGGTATATAATGGGTGCATCTACACATGGGCTTTAATGTGTACTAGCCTATTTTAATGCACATTAAGTGTCACAAAGTGCTCTTTCGCTAATGTGCATTAAAATAGTACATTGTGCCTTTTTCTAGTACCTCACTATGGAGGTGATAAGTTTAACGTGCATTAGTAACAGTGAGTTAATTAACATATAGACATGTCCCTTAATACTAACGATTAGCTCGTGCCTTTTTTGTATGTAGTGTCTGCACTGACTAGTTTATTTAAGTTTGTATTTTAAACATGACTTCCATATAAACATACACAAGGGATGAGAATGTAAAGTTCTAGTATCAGACTGAAAGGGCTTAAAGGTATGGTTGAGTTAAATTAAAGCCACGTAGTAGTATAAGACAGATAGTATTATCCTGACTTCTGTAATAGGAAACACTGCGAAGGAAATGCTGTTGTTGCTTGAAAGCCAGCCTCTAACAGGAGTTTTCTATCATCTTTGTGCTGTTACAGGATTTCCGAGACGCAGTGGCACATGCCTCCAGGCAACTTGGAAAACCAGTAATTGAGGACAGGATCCTGAATCAGATCCTTTACTACCTACCTCAGCTGTATGAACTCAATCGGGATCTATTAAGAGAATTGGAAGAGAGACTGTCTCACTGGTAACTATTAATGAGGAATGCAGTATTCTTTAATTTTAATATTTTTGGAAGATAAGCAAATCTTAGCATAGTCACAAATGTTTTGTATTTTATATGCCTTTCTTGACTCCAGAGCTGATTTTTGAATGGAAGCGGTGTATTAAAAGGTTTATTTGGTACTTGGGGACATTATATGCACATACATGCATGCATCTCTCTGCTTGTATAACCATATTACAGACTAAAGCTAAGATTTCAAAAATAGGAGCCTAAAATTAGGCCCATGGATCTGTATTTAGCATCCTTCCCCCACAAAAAGGTCTGTTTTAAGTGCCAAGTGCTCAAACTTCATTGCCCTTCATTGAGAGAAATTTTAGCAACCTAACTAGGTTCTTTATATATGTATATTCCCTTGAAAATTCTGTTCTTTTTTTACTCTTTAAAGCAAGGCACCAATCCATTAATACTTCTCTCATTTAAAAAATAAAAGCAGCAAAGAACTTAGCAACAAAAATGACATGCATATGTAACTTACCCCAGGGCTGTCCAGCTGGCTCCCTGCAGGCCATATGTGACCCATGAGCAATTAATCTGTGGCCCCTGAGCTCCCACCTGGCCCGTGAGATAAGCAGTTTATTCCAGCTCTGCCACAAATCCAATATTGAGCTAGTATGGCTAGGTCTACATTGCAGTGACTGTAGCCCATGAAGACTCATCTGATTCAGCCTTAAGCTATATCGCTTGGGTATGAATAATAGTGTAGCTATGGTGTTTAGTGTGGACTGTAAAATCTGACTAAGAACCTAAGTAAATGCTTGGTTTGCCTGAGCTGAGCTCCATGTTGCTTTGGCTGTATTTTTAGCAGTGGTTGAATCCCTTCCAGTTCCAATAGGAGGACTCTGTCTTTGGCTGTTTATACACATTCAAATAATTTGGGAGAATTTTCTCAGGTTTGTTCTCCTTGTAGAAAAACTTGCCCACAGCTGCATGTACAGACAGTCAAATGCTGCGGTCCTGAAGAGCGGAGAGCTTGCAGTGCTGCCACTGTCCTGTGAAGTGGTGATAGATGGTAGCAGTGCATAGGACAGCCCTGATTGGCTGACCCAGACTGCCCATGGTCAGCCTGTCTATCCCTGCAGCATGATGTGGGGATTATGAAGGAGGTGTGTTCTGCTCCCTATGAGTGATACACTGTTTCCTAGGGTGCGACACTGGAGGACTGTATTCTCTGTTGAAAGAAGCCACAGCATGTACATTTGCTGCCCTAAAATAAACTGTCCTGAGAGTGATTTAAACCTTAGTTGTTCCTAGGTTATTTTCCTTTTGGAGCTGTTTTTTCCTCTGGGAGAAAGCTTGAACATCGGAATTCTCAATTGTTTCTCTTGGGAGAGCAGTGACTCCCAGGAGAAACTGAACATTTGGCCTTTGGCATCTTGCATGTTGACACTATCACTCACATGGGAACAGTCATGAAACCAAACACTCTCAGTCTGAGACCTTTTTCTTTGACAGTAACTACCTCCTTGGCACCAGTGGAGTCTTTGCTTCTAAGCTCTGCTCCAAGAAAAGTATGAACTAGGATCTTGGTCTCATACGTTCCTCTCCACTGATACTAATGAGAAAATTGAGACAAGCCTACAGGCCAGACCATCATGATTTTTAAGGGTACTGGGTTATATAAAGATGTAACTAAAAGTCCTTGGGTGAATTTTCTAAAGGGTTTGGGCACTAGCTATGATTTGAATAGATTCAACTTAGTGTTTAGGTGCTCTTAAAAATCCCATGAGGCACCTGTAGGAGTTAGGCCTTATTTTAAGCATCCTTAAAGCATAAGAAACCTTAACTACATTTTAAAAAATCTGATCCCAGACACGTAGTTTCCAGCTCTGCTTATGGTACTGCCGCTTCTTCGCCGCTCTAGCGATTGCAGTGTGGGTACAGCTTCTAGCAAGTGGGAAGCTTCACTGGGGCCAGGCAGCTTCCACCTGGGCTTGTGCCACAGCCAGAGATGGGAAGAAGCATGGCAGTGTGGACTCAGTTTGCAGATGCCTGGTCTCAGTGTAGCTCCGCATGAACTAGAAGCTGGACTCACGTTGCATCCAGGGAGCAAGGGGCTGGAAGAAGTAGTGGCAGTGTAGGCACACCTCCCAGCTGTCTGGCCTTGTCCGTGGCACAGGGAAAGCCTTCTTACTGCTCACGTGCCACTGAAGCCATGTGGACCACGTTGGGCCAGCACTGGGTTGTACCAGCCTGCAACATGTGAAAGGTTGCTAGCCCCTGCTGTAGGTGACACAAGAAGACTACCAGGAAAGGTCCTTAAACATTGAGTCATTTTGCCCCTCAGATCATTAACCACAGTAGATTAAAGTGAGATATTAATGTTTTGCTGTAAATAAGGCTTTGAGGAAAAATCTGTTTGTAGTGTTTTCATTGCTCAGTTTTTATTTCTAGGATTGCTCATCAGAGAATTGCTGATATATTTGTGAAAAAAGGACCCTACTTGAAAATGTATTCAACTTATATCAAAGAATTTGATAAGAACATTGCATTACTAGATGAACAATGCAAGAGGAACCCTAGTTTTGCTGCTGCTGTTAAAGATTTTGAGGTATCTTTTAATCTGTTCTAAGAGATTTTATCTTGTGGCTGTTTAGTCCTGGTGACCTTTTGTAAGACTGCAAGGATTATCTTTTGACTTGGTATTTCTTCTTTGTTTCTAGGTTCCAGTTGAGAATGAGTGGTGGGAGGGGGAACTGGAATGTATTTAAGTATTGGATCTAGTTTTCCAAGAGCAGCTAGTGATTTTGCATGCCCAATTTGAGATGCAGTAAAGGATCTTGGTTTTTCAGAAGACTCAACTGTTGCTAAAAAAAAAAAAAAAAAAAAGAAAGAAAAAATAAAGGCAGGTAAACAAAATAACTAGTCACTCATAACACTTCAAGACTGGGTAAAATGTTGTACTTATTTAAACCTAGAAGATGCCATAGTCATGCAGAAACAGATTGTCATCATGAACCAGTGCCAGGCTCTTACTTAATCCCCTTACAACAGATCAAAGAAGATATATAAGCTCTAAATGCATGATCTAGAACAAGGATTTTCTACCTTTTTGGATCAGTGTACCTCTGGCGGCCGGACACAGAGCAGTGTACCTCTGGCAGCCAGACACAGGGAGTGGGGGATGCAGAGTGGTGGCAGCTGCTGCATGTGAGCTTTCCCTTCCCCATCTGGCCAGGTGGATGGTTCCTGCACAGCAGTGCGGGATAGTGCATGATAGTGCTGTGTCCCCACCTGCCCGTGCGTACCCCCTAGGGCCTTCTCAAGTACCCCCAGGGGTATGTGTAGCCCCGGTTGACAACCTGTGATCTAGAATAAACATCAGAGAACACTTGTCTTTGCCAAGGTGACAGATAAACCTAATTCCATAATGAAAGTATTGCTGAAATGGACACATAAGGAACTGCTCAGATCAACACAATGCTTTTGTCTTTCCAAGCAGAAGTGCAGTAATTTAACCATGAAACCACATAGGACCTGTTGTTCTGCATACATGTGCTCTCAGATATATGCCCACTTCATACATGCATCATATTGAATGGCCTCTGCTCTGTTTGTGCATATGCACATAAGGTTAGATAGGCTACTTATTGTAAGTGGAGAAGCAGGTTAAAGTTAGAACAGAGAGGCAAGAGGCAGGACAAAAAAAACAAGACCTAAAATAGCAAAATGGTAAAATATATCCCGTTAATGAAGGTGGCTTTTGCTGATACAGGTAGCATTATCTTTAGATGAAACCAGGGTGGAAATTAAACCTGTTGGAGCATGACTCTTTTTTTTTTTAAATGTTTACTTTTGTTGTCTTTGGGCTTTTCATCACAAACTTCTGTAAAGATCACTGCGGTCTTTCTCTGATCCACCCAGTTGTTAACAACTGATCATAAATGAGCCTCTCTCTCTGATGCCTTTACTGTTGGTTGTCTGATCTCTCATTTCTAGGGAGAGTTAAGAGGAAAAGAATATGATAAAATAAATTAAAATATGTTGAGTTCATGCACACAATGTAAACTTCTGTCTTCCTAATTTTATGGCACATGACTGATTTTTCCATATTTTATTCCATGTGGGGGAGTGATTAGAATTGCGGTGCTGATAATGCATCTAAAAGTTTAACCTTATCCTGGTATACCAGATGTCTGTGTTCTTCTGTAAAATTAAGTCAGGATAGCACAAAGTGTGCCACTGCAGCTCATAGAATCAATCAGTAATTAGGGGATACATTTCATTTGCCAACAGGGAATCTTTTGCCCACTGTTGGGAGATTGTTGTTGTTTATGTGTGTTTATCTTTCAGATGAGCCCTCGCTGTGCTAGTCTAGCACTCAAGCACTATCTCCTCAAGCCAGTTCAAAGGATTCCTCAGTACAGGCTGCTATTGACAGGTACAGCTGAGCTGTTTATAAGTTTAAAAGCAAGTTTTCACATGTCCCAGAAAACTGATACTCAGGCAATTGCGACTCTGCAAATAACATGCATTTAACTACTGGTGTATGAAGCTCTCTTAATGTGCTGTGCATTTAGAAGTTTTATACATTAATGCTGGGAGTGTTAAGAAAATGTACTGCTGTTTTCAGTCAGTAATAGAGAGTGTGTTTTCTAATGATACATCTTGTACATCTCAAGCTTGTGGTGATTTGTTCTGTGTCCACAGCTGTGGATTCCATTTGTTGAGATTGTTAGGGGAAGAACTTTAATAAAATTAAGGAAGAAAAGAGGTACTGAAAACTCAATATAAAATATTTTTCCTTTTAAAGGAAGGGCTGATCCAAATACTAAATTTTAGTTCTGGTTTTATTTCTGAAGTTAGTCGTATCTTTAAAAAAAAAAAAAAAAAAAAAAGTTTTGCATCTAAAACAGTGTCTGGCAACCTTTTCAAGTCTCGGGTTCTGATAGCCCACCTCTGGTCTGATGTAGGCTGGGGTGGCTTCCATAGCATGTCAGCAATCCCTGTATCCGGGCTGGCACCAGGCATCTGGAAGTTGCACCTGCACCACTGCTGCTTCTCCCAGTCCTCCACTCCTTATCAGGGATGCAGGCGCAGCTTTCAGCCAGTGGGGACCTGTGCTGGGGCTAGGCAGCTGGAAGGTGCATCCTTGCTGCCCCCACATGGATGCCACAGCTGGGAAGCAACAGGGGGTGTAAACTTAAATTTGCATTATAAGACAAAACTTTTGATCCATGTAGTAGACTTGTTACAGAAACAGTGCTTCCCAAACTGAACTAGGTTTCAGAAGACTTGGCTTCTTTTCTTGGTTCTGCTGTTGCCTTGTTGCATGACATTGGGAAAATCGCTGTCTCCAAATCATGCTGGGGCCTCTATTCTCAGCCTACAAAAGGGGAAATAGTGATGGAAATAGCTAGTCGCTATTATTTTCCTTTATAAAGAACACAGTTGCGAATTTGCAATTCTCTTGACTTCTAAATATTTAGGCTTCTGTTTTTAAAGCTACTACTACTTGCTGAGAATTTTTTAAAATAGCCTATGCTTATTTAGTAAGCACAAAAATAAAATGCTCCATGACCCTATTCTGGCTCTGTAGCGACTAACTGCTGTTTCCCCCACAGTGTTTATATTAGTGATGCTGCTTTATGCAGCACATTGAAGTGTTACATTGCAGTCACTAGGCGACTTTAAAAAAAAAAATCTTTTATTGTCAACTACCTTAAAAGTTTACAGGGAACTGGGGGGACAGGGTTGGAACCTGTATAAAAATGAATTATTTGGTAGGAGTAATATGCATGCCTCTTACAGGATAAAGTCAGACTATAAAAAGCTTTGTGATTTGTTTTCCTTTTCTTTACTTTAAATGGACACTAACTGAAAGCACAGCAGGGAGACTGCTATTAATTCCAACCTCAGTGGAGAGGCCCTTGTTTCTAAAATAGTCCAATGCCTAATTAAAAAGATGGAGCCAAAGGCAGTGCAGGGAAAAGACCCTGCCAGTGACTGCAGTTGAAAGATGTCATAGCTGAGTGGGGGGAAAAAAAAGTGTTCCTAATTACTGATGTTTATGGATTGCAGGGAGATTTAATTTTAAAATATCCGTGTTCTGTGCAAGATTCGAGTCCATTAATTGAATCTTTGCAGGCAGACTTTAGTGACTCTGTGCCATCTTAAGTGGCCACTAGTTCATGCTCTGCATTGTGAGACTCGGAGTTTCGTTTCTAAATAGAATTTTCTCTGTTCTGTGGGAGGGCTGAAAAGTACAAAAAATAAGAATTTCTTCTGTGCTGGAGTGGGTGGGTGTGTGTGTGTGTGTGCATCCTTGAGCTATTTCACTGCTATTTCCCACAACTACGCACACACGCTGTATCTATATATATAGTTGTGAGAAATAGCAGTGAAATGACTCCTCAAGGTACATACCTACCTTACTATTGCTCAGTCTGCAGTGCCATTTCACATTGCATTATATTATCTTTGTTGGTAACATGAGACAAACAGGGAAGAAGGTGCTGGTCTCAATAGTCCATTTGCTCAATCAACTTAAAGTACCTTCTGCTTAATATTGGGAAGTCTTGACATAGGTCTGCACTGCTGAGTCTTCAAAATACATGCTTTGGATCCAGCATCAAAATGGGTAGGGCAGCAAGAGAACAAGAATGTAGGTAACTTAAGTGATAAAAAATTAATCTGCTGTGGACAAAGCCAATGGAAACTTTTTCTGGTCTGCAAATGAATTAGCAAGGAATGTGAGAGAACTGAGGAGTAGAAAGTGGGGGGGGAAATAAATCAGTTCAACTGTAGATGCCAGGGCTCTGTCAGCTACTGAGTTTCCTCTTGGATGTGCTCTGTTTCAGTAGGCTAGCCTTGTATCTATGATACAGTTCCACATATGCTTGCAGTAGTGACAGTTTGCTGCTGCTTGGAGATGCTGCTTGTTTGTTACTTCTGAGCTGTCAGTATCAGAAGCAAGTGGGCTTGTAGATCAGCAGAGGAGAGGAGCAGTTTAGTGAGATTCCTGTTGAATTACATGGATCCTCCATTACATCTCATGGATATAATGTTTGCTCTATGCCATTGGGTTCCAGGGATAGGGTACTCACACCTCTATGCCTTTGGGGTTCTGTCCTCGAGTCACCATTCAGCAGAGACCGGTGGGGTGGTAAACAGTTTTATCTTTATTAGGAACAGGATTCGGCAACTCACATGCTCACATCATGCAGGGAGAACTACAGCTACCCATCACCCCAAACCACACCCATAGGGCATCAGGGGGAGGGACTGGGTCATCCCACTGCTGGCCCCTTAAAGGTACATTCCATATACCACATCTCCCTTCTTTACTCTGGGAGCTCTCTTTAACTAGTTGGATGTTCATCGGGTGCTACTTTAACACAACATTTCAGGATCGTGGAGCCAAAGGTTGCTAGCACTTGGCTCACCAGTGGGGTTTAGCCTTTACTGCTATCCCATCATATGGTCATTGTACTTCACAAGCAGTCTTACCACACATCCACTCTTAGTTTGCATGGTGTCATCAGGTTCCCCTGGGTACTGGTGGATTCTCTGGAATGTGATGAAACTCTTGCTCGTGGTGGTCTGCTTCTTCTTATGAAGTTTGTTCTGCTGCCGTCTCTTGAGGTACATTGACACGTTCTGCTGGTACTGATGAGTAATCCTTTCTTAAGTGTCTCCTGTTCCTCCTGTAGACATTACTGCTGGGGGTTGTTGTTACATAGGAGCGCGGTTCATCCCTTTTTGTCATGATGGATGCTGGTGTCCAGCCTGTACTTGTTTGCATCCTTACTTTCTCCCCCTCTCGTAGAGGTGGCAAGAATGCAGCCACGCAGTCATAGTGCTCCATTTGGCGCCTTTGAAGGTTCTGCAACTTGTGGGTGGCATTCAATGGTAGTCTAGGAGTTAGCACTGATATTGTAGCAGGAAGGGTACGGCGCAAAAGTCTCCCCATCAGAAGCTGTGCTGGAGCGTAATCAAGACGGGTAATGGGCATGTTTCTCAGATTGAGTAAAGCCAGATATAGATCAGACCCATCCTGCAAAGTCTTCTTAAAAATTGATTTAATGGTCTGAACTGCGCGTTCAGCCTGACCATTGGGCTAGAATGGGTGATTGTTATACCCCAGTCAGTCACAAATTGTTTCGCGTGACTTGCAAATGGCACATGATCACAAACAATCTCTTTAGGTATGTCACAGCAAGCAAACACAGACTTCATTTTGGCTACTATCATGCCCGCTGTTTTGTCTGGCAGGTGCAAAACTTCAGGGTACTTGGAATAATAGTTGACTATGATCAAATAAGACTGTCCCTGTAGGTCAAAAATGTTCGTTGCGAGTTTTAGCCAAAGCAGGTCTGGGATCTCATGGGAGATCATGGGCTCTTCTTGATTAAGGAGGTTATAGCTTTCATTCAAAGGAAAAAAAAAATGGAACATTTCAAATCTCCACCAGCATTATCCTTTACTGGAAATCTTGTGGAGAATTGGAGGCAATGGGAACAGAAGCTTCAATTATACCTTGTAGTTACAAAGCCTGAGGAAAAGGCAGAAGATTATAAAATTGCAGTCATGATTCACTGCATTCGGGATATACCAGAATGGACTTTCTCTTCTCCACATGCTAACTCTTTCATCCTGACACAGTCCATGCTTCAACTGTCCAGCATACAGAAGGGGACATGTTGGTTATGGTAGACACTGTTGCTTCTCTTCTCCATAGATCTGCTATTTATCTTACTATATTGCTTTTGTAAATGTCTTGCTGAAATGTTACATCATCCCAAGGCTAGAGACAATAGTACTTGCACTGAAGTAATTATTTGCATCATTTTAAAATTCTTTACATAGGCTCATAAATTGCAAGCTATAAATGTAGATTTCATTGATACACCGGGAGGGAGGCAGGGGCTGGGGCAGGGGCAAGCACTGCCAAGTCAAGGAGGAATTGGGGATGAAGCCACAGCTCTTCTGGGGGTGTGGGATGGAGAAGGGCTCATTTGGGAGGTGCGGGTGAAGGGGGAGGTGGCTGGTCCGGCGGCTCCCCCCAACACTGCTGCTGTCACTTGTCCAGGAGGGCCCAGGAAGGCTTGTGGGCCCTGGATCTGTGCTGGGTGAGGCGGGCTGGGGCCAGGCTGTTCCTCGTGAAGCCTGGGCCGCCTGAGCAGGGCACGGGGCAGGTGGTGGTGCTACAGGAGGCTATAAGTGGGTTACGGCAAACTTCGGGGTGGCTGTAGCTCCCTCCCAGTGGCACCGCCACCCCACCCCACCCCCCAACCTGGCCCAGGCTCCTCTGGGAACTGCCCTGGCCCCAGTCCACCCTGTGTAGATCCGGGGCCTGTTCCTGGCAGAGCCTGGGCCAGGTGTGGCGGGGGATAGCGCTGCTGGGAGGAGGCTACAGGGAGGCTGCAGCCACCCTGAAACTCACTGTATGTAGCCCCCTCATAGCCAAGCGAGTCATTCCCCATTCAGTATTTGTGCATGCAGTTGTTTAAATTTGGTTTTAAAAACACTAGATTTAGTTGACACTTTCTTAATCTTTGGTACAGAAAAGGGTTTCTTCAAGCTGAAGAAGGAAATACCTGTTCTGGGGGAGAGAAAGTTTAATGTCATGATAGACATAATAATAAAAGAACATTGGGAGAGTGCCAAATCTCATAAAATATGGCTATTCCTCTGGCCCAATTAGAGCAGTTATGGCACATGGGGGTGATCTATCTGTGCGCCTGATCTGGACTGGCCATAGGTCCAGTGTGCAGGGCCAGTCTTGTGCTAGCTCTAGCTCTTCTACTGTGCGCAGCTTGCATCCTTGCATATGGACTCTGTGCATCACATGCAGCAGGTGGGGCTGGGGCCAGCATGTTCTGCATGAAACATGCCATCCTGAGACCCTCCAACAGCACTGTAGATTGGATGGTAGCACCCTTTCAGGAAAGAAGGTTGTAAACCTCCAAGCTACAAACATGTTGTTGATCAAGTCTGCCACCTAGTGGTTAAGTACTGATTTTTCTCACTATTGAACAAAGCACAAAATTGTAGCATGTTTCTTTTTATTTTTCCTTTTACTGAAAAAAACCCCACCTTAAGCATAACATAACTGTTGTTGTCAAATACTGTTAAATAATTATAATCAGGCTAACATAAAGGCTGAACTGTTATTTGTAACTGTTAAAATCTACCCACATACAATTGAGTGTAAATGATTCTGTGTAGTATAGTTTGGTATAGATGCATGTTATTACACACAGCCTTTATTTAATGAACAGTTTCTGCTTGTTGATCTTATTCTGGATGACATCCAAGTGTATCATATGGGGAAAAACTCTGTTTGTGAAAGCATGCATTTTTATTTATTTCATGGTTTATTCATGCTTTTTATACCTGATTCCCCAAAGTAGACCTAAATAGCATATGTGTGCTGTGCAGATATTGATTAGCTATGCTTCTGCTAAGAACATGTTTTTTCTGTTACAAAATTTCTTGGGGTTTTTGGATTTGAAGAGATTTAAAAAAAATCTAGTGTGTGGGCTATACTTATAGCATGTGTTTAATAAAAAGTAAGTTCCTTGAACAAAATTTGTATGCTTTTACTCCTTTCTGTAGTACTGCTTGATTTGCTTCTAATATATTTTCCTTCTATTTTTTATGCAGATTATTTAAAGAATCTTTTAGAGGAATCTGCAGACTATAGGGATACTCAAGGTATTTATTTTGATTAAAGACATAAAGACTGCTTAAATATGGGGAAACAAAAATATTTCTAAACATTTGATGCATGATTCCATGAAATCTGGGCAATGCCCAGGAAATCCATGGCGGGGGGGGAACAGAGGGAGCCAGTAGTTCTCAGGGTGCTGCAGCAGCCTGCTGGGGCGGGGAAGATGGCAGCTGACCACTAAAAAGGCTGTTGGCAAGATGGCTGCCACCCCTGCCCCTCACTGCTGATTGGCTGTTATGTGGCCCCATGCCCTCCACCAATCCATAGTAAGGAGCAGTGCTGTACTCTGCCCACAGAATAGCTGCCAAGCCTTCCATTCTGTCCACAAATTTGCAGGAGGGCAGCCCCTGTAAATTGGGTAGATCCCTATTAATGTATGGTAAATGGAGGTGTTATCTGTTTAGTTTCAAGTTTATCTGAAAAATGATCGTTTGTTCCCCTTGAAGAATATTAAAAGTTGACAAAATCAGCTTTCCCTAGAAAATTGAGAATCTGAAATTTAAGATTTTTTCCTTGTTTGCATCATAACTGATTATAAAGGCTCTAAATTGGTCCCTTGGTTATTTTCACGCAAATCCCCAGTTGTGTTGTCCCTCTGCTGACACCCTTGTAATCCTGCCATCTTCAGGAGGGTTGCATTGGACATAGGTTCTCAAACACTGTTCTTTATTAAGATCTTAACTCGCATTCAAACCTGTTTGGCTGTGCAGTAGAAATAAATTGGAGCACACATATTCTTTATTAAAGTAAGCAGATGGAAAGTAGGTTTAGATTGTTTTGTGTGGAAATATTTTTTTCAGTGACAAAAGGTCCAGTGGTGGTCTTCCATCAATAACAGGTCTGGAAAAACTGGTTCATTAAGAAAAAAGAGTTAAAAGTAATTTGGAACTCTGTACACACTTTTGAGGTTCCCAAGTCAACTAATGTTGTTCTCTCCCCACTTGCTGTGTCAACCAGGGGGACTAAACAATATAGCAGTGAAAAGGAGCATGTGTACAGAGCTGTCAAATGTATGAAAGGAGTAAACTGGAAACTAATTTAGAGAAAAATTTAAAAAAAGCAAATGTATTTTTGAAGGAGGAACCACTGACAAAGCTGTATAACAAAAATATTGTTTCTTCACACTTCAGATGCTTTGGCTGTTGTCATAGAAGTAGCCAACCATGCTAATGACATCATGAAACAAGGCGTAAGTATCCTGTGTTTGAAAAGTGACCAATTAAAGTCATGTCATCACAAAATGATTTTGTAATTAAATTTTAAAAGCAGTTCTAATTGTTTGTGTGTATTTTTCCCTTGTAGGATAACTTTCAAAAGCTTATGCAGATTCAGTACAGTTTAAATGGACACCATGAGATTGTACAACCAGGAAGGGTAAGTGCCCCAGATAGCAGTTAGTAGACAGCAGCAAGGAAACTGCAGTACAAACTGTGGTAATACAAAGCATAGAAGTCCACTGTTAAAGTGCAGAGAAAAATGATTCCTTGTTTAATTGCTGATTGTAGAACACACATTTCTTCTCAAGGGTTGTTTTAACTTTTTGGGGAAAAAATGTTCTTATGTATTAAAACTGGTAGGTTCTCATAAAGCCCTATGCATATACATGTGTTTTGTTGGCAGCTGTGCTTGGCAGCCTTGCTTCTGCTTCAAGACTTAAAGATAAGCTGGAGCACACCATGCTTGTTGACTTTAATGAGACCTGGGGATTGGCAGCAACTGCTGAGCTGGAGAAAGCCTGGAGTTCCTAACCTTTTCTATCCTTGTCATAGTCACACTTGAACAGTATGAGCTTGGTAGTTTCTGTGGCATCACTTGTGTGCATTGTTGAGGAACTGTACTGGTTCATACTGTGACTTAAGTGAGTTGCAGATGTGGGAGGCTTTATTCTTGTGATCTGCCTTATCAGTTGCAGTTCTGTTCATTTCAGTGAAACCACTCACAGGACGAATGAGAGGGGCAAGAATTTCTGCAGATGATCTTCTATTGGACCAACTGCATGGTTGCAGTAGACTTAGACAAGCTTTTGAATACAATGCTTTCTTCAGGTTACATTGTATTCGAAAGCTTGTCTAAGTCTATTCCAACCATGTTGCTCCAGTAAAAGGACATCCATAGAACTCTGTCTCTAGCATGTTTCCTGGACCCTAACTGCTACAACAACACTTCGACACTCACAGGAAGGAAGTTACATATCTGTATGTTTGCAGAAATGAGCCCATAACCCAGCCTTTGGAGTTTGTATGAGCAGCCATATACATAATAAGATAGCAATTTTATTTGAATTGGATATTAATCTATTTAGTTTGGATGTTGCATTTTATCTTGCATTTAAGGCTCAGCTTTTCATAGGAAACTATGTTAGTTGATAGGTCTGGTTATTCACTTTTATTAGGAGCTACCTTTTTCATTTGTTGAAGTATGATTTGTATATTGTGACAAGTAGACACATTCTGACTAAATAGTTTTCCTCCCTTATTCATATCTTTTATATTGGCTTAAACCCCTAAGGATATTAGGGACATTTTATTCAGGAGTGGGTTTTTTTTACAATAAATTTGTTAGAAACTCTATTTCAGAACAGCAAATTTTTCTTCATTTGGGCTTTATGTATATTATTTCTGTGTCTGTAAAAAGGGCATCAATAAATTATGTGAATAATAACTTTAAAGAAAGAGGAAGCTTATTTGTTCAGTTTGTGTCCTCAGCAACTGAGTTTTAAATCAATTTGTTTATCTGCTTTAACTTACCAGGTCTTCCTGAAAGAAGGAACATTGATGAAGCTGTCCAGGAAGGTCATGCAGCCACGAATGTTTTTTCTGGTGAGGTGCCATGTATATATCTGCAAGCCTAATGCCAGAGTAAATTGAGCACTGTTTTGCCTTCTCAGTACAGTTAAACAAGATTCTGTATCATGTACGCTAAAAAAGAACAAATAAGCATTCCCACTGTTTGAACAAGGCTCAGCTACTGTTTTTTAAGAGCTGTTGGGGGTGGGGGGAAAAAGCATGATCTTGAAAAACTTAGAACACCTTTACTTCCTTGAATATTAATAGGCTTTGAAACCTAAAATTTGGGTGGTTGAGGCATTACTTCTCATTCTTTTAAAATACACATTTACATCTTTGGATGGAGTATTGGGTAGGGATTGATTTCAAGGTTTTATTCTTGGCTGTTCTGCTGACATGCTCTTGGCTTTAGACAAGTCACTTCTCTTGGCTTTAGACAAGTCACTTCTTCTCTGGGCCTCTCCTTTCCTTCCCATTCTGTGTCTGGCTCTTCTATTCAAATTGCAGACACTTGAAGGTAGAGATTGCCTCACTGTTTATGCAGTGTCCAACACAATAAGGCCGCTGTCTTAGTTGGTACCTTAGATGCTACTGCCAAACAAATAATATTAATAACTTAGTAATATATGATTAAATGTACATTGTATTTGTTTTCCCCTTTCAACATTGAAAGTATTTTAAAGATTGGTATTTCTCTCAGTATTTAAAGATTGTATCTAATGAGTATAGGTATTTACATGTCTGCCTTTGGACAGTATTTTTGTGGGGGGGTTTTAAACAAAAGTTGTTGCAATAAAAGATTATAGACCATCATAACAGCTGCTTATATAAGTTTTATAAGATTTAATTTTCACTTAAGATATTGTTCATCTTCATTTGAAAAATATGAAATTGCCTGAGCATTACTGCCACATTCACAACTGGCTTCCCAGCAAAAGTTCTATCTACTACTTACCCAAACACTTCCACAAGTGGAATACTTTCTCTGCTGGTATGAACCTGTTTTCTCCATTTGTGAGCTTTTGAGTTTTCCCATTGCAGGAAAATAATTTTGACTTGAATAAACAATTTCCTTATTTTCTATTTAGTTAAATTGTCTGTGCAACTTTAAATTGACCACCTTGTGCATATGCATGTTGGTAGGTCTTCAATTACAATTCTAGGATCCCATACTACTTTTTCCCCATAAAAGCACAGCCCCATCCAGTGCACAAGGTTTATCTGCTCTAGGAAAGAATCATAGGCTTGTAGTACCTAAAGCTGCTGTCTGTAGGACAACTGACCTCACTTTTTGCAGAAATTTGAAAGGGTGAGTGAGATAAGACTACAGGAAGAAGCAGGGCCTTAGGGCTAAAACAGTTGAATGCTGCTCTGAGAGAATTGAATTCTTTACCTGCCTTTGCCTCAAATGCTGAATAATTCACATAAAGTAAACTTTTCACAGATGGACACCGATCAGGTGTTTCCAATTTCTGGGTGCCTGGTTTGAGATGCTGGGGCCTGACTTGCAGAAGTACCGAGCTCTTGTAGTTGCAGGTGAAGTCTGTGGGAGCTGTGCTTTGACTGCATAAAGTGCATACTGTCATGTATTCTGAAAAATCAGGCACTCAAATTGGACACCCAAAATTAGTAGATAGCTTTGACTCTGCTCTCATTGGGCTAGATTTTTGATGATATTTACGTACTTAAAAATACAGGTAGGTATTCTGGCACATCTGAAAATCCCACTATCTGTATCTTGAGGCACTTCAAAATGCCTTTAAAAATCTGACCAATATGTTTAGATAGTCAGAATGTAAGTACAGTATTACTACCTTCATTTAAAAGTAAATAGACTCCTCTTCTCAGATCCTGCTAGAACAGTAGTCCAGGAATGTATCCATTACACCCTGTTAGTCTAATCTTTCAATATATGTATATCATTTCTTTATGTATTTCATGTATTGTTAATACAATATACCAAAAATAATCTGTCTATCTTTAAGCACCCTTTAGTCACTGAAAAATGGTGTTTTTCATTGCAGTTTAATGATGCCCTGTTGTATACAACTCCAGTACAATCTGGCATGTATAAACTCAACAATATGCTTTCATTGACTGGAATGAAGGTGAGTCACTGAGGTATCTGCTAGAGAAACTTGCTGTCAAAAAATACTTTAACTCATAGACAAGTTAATTATTGAAAATAAATATTAAAATTCATAGTTTTTGTTTTCTGTGGTTCTTGGACTACTAAAGAGTACAGTCAGTACTAGGGGACCAGGGTAGTCAGCTAAGAGGAAACTTACTTTGGTGTGTGTGACTAAAGGTGAGTAGTATAGAGCATGGTCTAGATATGCTGTTGGTGTGCCAGACTTCAGGCCCCTTCAGTCAGTTCTATTATCGCAAGTTAGTTTTAACTGCCATTTGGCTCAGTATTGAGCCTCCCTGAAAACCTTCCTATTTCTCTAGTGTATTTTTTAATGGCCCTTCCCCCTGCCCAGCAGCCATTGAACTTTTTGTCTGTCCCCAAAACACATAGAGTTATAACTGTCTGATTACTTCCTGATGGGCCAAATCCTCCACAACTGAGTCTCCAAAGACTGCTGATCCTCAGGGGAGAAATGCAAGCATTAAGTGGGGAGAGGGGGATTTAAAATAGTGCCTCCAAGAGAAGCACCAGAGTTGAACCTGTTTTTTCTTGCTTCATTAAAATATTCTTGTGGGCAAAGTGGGCAGCCATTTAAACCATGAGGATGGTACTTATTTTTCAAATTCTACTGATTTTAATATTAAACACCACTTAAACTAATTCACACTTGACCAGCCTGCTTCTCAACCTTTGGCACCTTATTAATATTTATTAGCATTACTCAGAGTATGTGCTTAGCTTCTTCTCGGAGGTTCATACTTCAGTGCAAGTCTCCTTATATTATTACTGGGAGCATCTTGCCTCTTAGCAGTAATTGGTCAGTTCTGGGCTGCTGCTAGCACAATGCTGACAGCAGTTGAGGTGAGTTGAAAGGATTAATAGCGTGCACATGTCAGTAGTTTTCCGATTAGAAACCAATACTATATGCATTTTACACTTGACTTCTATCTCCTAAACCTCTGAGGGGTATTTAGTTCAGCAGTGTCCCGTATGAATTGTATCAAGGAACTTCTTTGCCCTAAGCTAAAGTCAGCAGAATCTCACTTCCATTTTGCAGAGTCAGTTAAATTTGAACCTTGTGATTTGGAATCATAGAAAAATAGGACTAGAAGGGAAACTCAGGAGGTCATCTAATCCATTCCCCTGTTCAAGGCAGGTTCATCCGTGTCAAAACTATCCTTGGCAAGTATTTTTCTAACCTGTTATTAAAAACTTCGGGATCATCCGTCAGACTCGCCTACCAGGCATAATGCTCAAAAACATCAAAAATCCCCTCTAACTAGTCTCAGGTAAAGCAGGTGATGTGATAGTGCATGAACTACTGAAGAGTTCTTCTTCACTTCTGTCACCTTCTGTATTGCTTCAGTTTGGCTATAGTTACAGATAACTCTTAAGACTCATTAACTCAGTTTGTATTTTTGTTTCCTTGGTCCCCACTGTAGGTTAGAAAACCAACCCATGAAGCTTACCAGAATGAGTTGAACATAGAAAGTGTAGAGCGATCCTTTATTCTGTCAGCGAGGTAAATAACATCATAAGTGAATAATGAATATTTAAAAGCTTACATTATCAAATGTATTCCATCAAATATGGAACAGCATATTTGTTAATACTGTGCTCATTGTTCTGTATTAATGCAACTGATTTCATTTTTTGGCTGGAATAGTAACTGTAGGAGTATAAAGAGTGCTTGCAATGAACACAGACTAGTTTAGTTTAAAATCCTATCTAAGTTGTTTAAAACCAGAATTCAAAATGAGATTGCCATTGATTGAGTGAGAAAAGATGGAGTCATAGGCAGTGGGTCCCAGGCACTATGTGAACTTAGTTTGTGTATGTATCCACTGCCACCGACATACCGCTCATCTTAACTTTTAAGGAAAACTTCTGTCTTTCCTTGCCACTGGTGGGAAAAGCTCAGATTCTATACTAAAATAGTTACTTTTTGAACTGCCTGGACAATGATTGCACTTGTATAGGAATGCTGCTGTAATCACAACGCTCAACTGTTAACCAAATTGAGGTGGAAAGAGGGAGTTACCCTCAAGTCGGCCATGTCCTATAAAAACTGATATTTAAGTAAGTTGAAATCTTATTTCTTGTAACTTGTTGAAAAGAAAACATTACTACTTTTAAAATGACTTACTTCAGCAGTCTTAATTTGGGTTTTGATAGAGGAAAATATAGTTTTTAATTTAGACTCTTCTGTCTCTCTTCCAAAGTTACCAATATGTGACCACATTTCTCTACTAGTTTACTTTATCACTAATAAGGGGAGACATGAATTATATAATGAACCGATTTGATAACCGGGCTTATGATATACATTTGAGGGAGTTTTTATGAGTCATCTAGATTTAATACAGATGTAACTGAAACAGGAAACAGTGTGGAGCAGTACTGAAGCCCAACTTAAAATTGGCATTAAATTATAGATATATGAAAAAAACAGATTCTGTGCTTGTCTAAATTTTCCAAGATGGCATTCAAAGGATAAATCATCTTAGAACAGTTTTTGTCTGCCTTTACAAAGCTGCCTTTGCCAAAGGCAATGCTGTTCTTAAAGCATTTGAGCCATGAATTTTATTTGTTCTGTCATTTGTGACAATGCTGACGAGAGGACACATTTCCTCCTCTCTTACTAAAGCAGAATTAGAATGGGCTGCTACGTGTACTGGATGACCTTGCATTAACTGACATCAGGATGTTTGCACAACACAAACATAGGGTGTTTTTACATGTGCTCTGGCAGTGGGTGGGGGCTTTAGTTAAAGTGCCTCCATCTCCATTTTGAAGCGTGGGGACACTGATACACCAGACGCTAACATTGGCTGGAGTACGGTGATTACCACGCTCCAGCAGGCTCAATTAATCAAGTCTGTTCCAATGCATTGTAATTACAGTGTGTTGGAGCAGCCTCCATGCTCATGTATAGGCACCCATACTCTCTAGCAGAGAGGAATCAACATTAGCTTGTCAGAATAGCAAAAGCAAATATCACAGTTGTCTGAGTAATGACTGTTATTTATAATGGAAGAGTGAAGATTTTTGTCTTTACACTAGATTTTATATAAATGTCTCATAGGAATTTTGTGTCTTTGGAGAAGATGCACTAGATAAAACATGGGCTTGATTCTATACCCAGCAGGCACAGGATAGGACCTGCAGTACTTAGATGCACTGATGATAGAGCTCTTACAGGCATGCAAACAGCATTTGCAAAAATGCAGGATATGACTTTGCCCTCCCTGTATTTGTTAGTATGACACTTCAGCTTTTTGAAAAAGATAGTAACTTATCCTTAGAGTTATCAGGTTGTGAATCCCATACATTTGGATTTGTCTGTTTTTTATTATACAAGAAAAAACTAATGTTTCATACTGATGTGTGGGCACAATCATTTTGAAGCAACTGATTCCACTGCACATGCAGACTGACCTTACCTAATGTGGTGTTATGATGATTTTATTTATAAGATACTATATAAAATAAATCATAATCTCTAAATTATCTCTAAAGCGTAAGTGGATGGCATTTGTTTCTTCCAATTTATTTAGAGTGCCTGAAAATTGTTGCCATCAAACCTTTTGACCTACTTTTCATAGAAAAAAGAGTGAAGTCAAAAAACTATATGCTGCTGTTTGTGGTATGCTTCTTGGACAGTCTAGTCCAGTGGTTCTCTACCTTGTTAGATGTGAAGCGCTTCTCCATAACTTTTGTGAACTAAGCAGCACCACATTTTAAAAATAACTTATTTATTACATGGCTTACCTCCTTCCAGAGGAATCAGGCACAGGGGGCAAGGGAATAGTCAGGCAGGGACTGAGCCTGCACTTATCTGCTTATCTTCTCACACCTGGCTAATTTCCTAACACCTTGTGGCACCCTTCAAAGGATATCATGGCACCCCAGGATGCCTTAGCACACTAGTTGAGAATCATTGGTCTAGTTAGAGGCTAGGGGTTGGGTAAATCATTTGAAATTTAACAGCTGGAGAGGAAGGGGCCCCAAATCTCAATATTTAAAGCATATTGATACTTGCACTGCTGCTACCTTTACTAGTCTGTGTTTTTAGAAGACTATTTTCTAGTACTGTCAATGTTGCACCTTTCAAGAACCTTCACTTCTCCTTCCCTTTTTAAAAATCATGGGAAACTATTGTTTCAAGAGGGATCATTTAAACAATAATAATGGAAGCATAAGGTATTTACTGAGGATTAATGACAGTTTGGGTGGAGCTGAGGTCTCCAGGTGCAGCTGAAAATCTCCAGTTTGTATTTAATCCTCAGGAAATGCCCGTGTGTTATGATGAAGAGGCATGTGCAAGCTGAAGGGAAAATCCAGATGTCTATCCCTCTCAAAGAGATACAGTATAGACAGTGGATGTCTAGAGAATCATCTCTCATCTTACGTTTTATAAGCTTATGCCATATTACAAAACTGTTTGAATTTACTCTTACCTGGCTACAGCGAAATGTACTTTTTTTTCTGCTCTTCTTGCTGACAAACTTAATCGATATATTCATTGTACACAAAAGCAGTTGTATACCGATTCTGAGGTGACTCCAGAGGAGGGAAATACGTATTTTTGTAGAAGTAAAAATGTAAAACTAACACACTTCCTTTTTTCCTGAGGAGGGACCCTTGAAAAAGGGTACTTGGTCCTGAAAAACTTGTCTGTACCCCTCTCATGTATATAGCTGGGTCAATAGAGGACATCACCCACAAAAATCCTTACCCCTCTCAATTTTTTTCCTCAATTTGGAGAGGGAGAGGGACCATTTTTTACTGATGGTCCCACAAAAGACAATGTGAGCTGTGACTGCTTAGTTGCTTATATATGGAGTTCAGCAACCAAGTTTTGAATACATTATCCAGAGTCTCCCAGCCAAATGAGAAGTGAATATTTCAGGACTAATGTAGTTCAACTGTTCTTATTAGGCACTGAAGTAAAAAATAATCATGAGGTAGACTAAATGTTTTGTATTTAAAGGGAGCAGTAGTCAGAATGTCAGTAATACAGGACTATTCCCTTACCAAGTGGTGCTGAGAGGTGACATACACAAGAATTTAAAAGAACCTGTTCTGGTCAGCAGTAGGTTCTTTATAGTGTCTTTATTCTCTGTAAAGTGTCATGTGTACCAATGATACTATACACAAAGGGTCGGCAACCCCCAGCATGCATGCCAGAGCATGGTATGTGAAGCCATTTTGCTCATTAAGCCATAGCTGGCTTGGGCTTTGGGCAGGCCCCTTCTGCTAGCCATGAAGCCCAGGCTGCTCACAGCAAGTGGCCGAGAGGCTGCAAGCAGCTGCAGCAGGGTCTGTAGAGCCCCAGCCCAGCTCGTTGCCGGAGGCGGGTGGACGGCAGGGAAGGGGCCCAGGGCTCCACTGTCGCAACAAGGATTGGACCCCTTGCAGCTCCCTGCCCTCTGCCCCTGGCACACCAACATTTTACTAGTCAAGGTTGCACAGTTTTTTGGCACTCTGCCCAAAAATGTTGCCGACATTTTGTTATACAGGAGTAATAAAAAATAAAGCATGCATTACACTGAAAGGGGAACATAGTAATTTAGTGGGAATATGATATCCATTTATCAACGCATATCAGCACTATGCTGCTGATTAACTAATTGTGTCATGCTGCTATTTCTTAAGACAGGAAGTGAAGATATCACATAAAACACTGACTTAGGAAGGTAAAATGTAATAATGGAAATGAAATTCAGAACTGGATCTTGGAGGAATTTATTTTTCCTTAAGACTTCCTTGAAAGTAACATCATAGCAATGTAGGAAAGTTAAAGCTTCAACTTTTATAGTATTAATGTGTCTCCGTTCCTTTCATGAACAGATCAAGGTCTACTTTAAAACTAATTAAGTTCATGTCTCCACTACTCTTATTGGAAGGCTGTCCCAGAACCTCATGGCTCTAATGTAGGGATGGGCAGTTATTTCAGGTGGAGGGCCGCTTACTGACTTTTGGCAAGCCATTGAGGGCCGCATGACAGGCAGCCAGGGGCAGATAACTATTAATTTTCTAAATTTTTTAGGGGCCCCATGGGCTGGATAGAATGGCCTGGCAGGCTGGATGTGGCCTGCGGGCCACATTTTGCCCACTCCTGCTCTAATGGTTAGGAATCTTCTAGTTTCCAACCTACATTTATTCATGGTTGACCTATATCCCTTTGTTATTGAGCAAGTGTTGTCCTTTCAATTAAATTACTCTTCTCCCTCCCTGGTGGTTGTTATTCTGATGAATATATAAATGTCAGTTGTCCTGCTCAGCCTTCATTTTACTGGCCTAAATTAGCCAAGCTGCTTTAACCTTCTCCTTATAAGATAAACTCTAATCATACTAGTCTTCCTTCTCTGTACCCATTCCAGCTTGACTTAATCTTTCTTGAACATGCATGATCAAAGTTGTGTGCAGTATTCTAAATTAGACCTTGTACAATTGCATTAATACTGTATTTGATTTCCATAATGGAAATACCTCACTTGATACCTACTCTGTTAATATGTCTCTCCAATGCAGTATTGCCCCTTACAGCAGAAACCATTGTTCTCTCTTCTTCCACCAGTTCCTCCCCCACTTTATGTTGCTTATACTAATCTTCTTCTCCAGTTTAACTACTAACTTGTCAGGTACAACCAAAGATTAGAGCTACCATTTTTCTTTTGTCTTGAAATAGAGAAAAGGAAGGAACAACAGAAGTTAAGTTAGCCTAGGTCATCTTGTGCGTCAGATTAAGTTTGAGTCACAAAAGGATAGTGGCAAAGACTTTTACATTTGATGCTATAGTCATTTGACTAAAATATAATAGGATCAGCTTTTTAGCCATTTTAAATATTAACTATAACATGATGTCTTTGACACCAACAGTTCTGCTACAGAAAGAGATGAATGGTTAGAAGCCATTTCTAGGTCAATTGAAGAATATACGAAGAAGAGAATCACTTTTAACCCTAGCAGAAGTCTTGAAGAGGTATACCACATTTTTATTGATCTTTTTTTCTTTGCAGTAGTATGGTAGAAAATGGCAAGCAGTAGTAATATAACAGAATTTGGAACATAATAGAATAATAATGTCATTTGATTAATAAAATTAAAACTTCATTCTTAAAAAAAATATTTGTGGTCTTAATCCTGAACAAATTTGGGAGGAACAGGGAAATATTCAATATCCTTTTACTAATGATTTACCTATTATTATAGGTAAGGAATTGATGTAAACAAATTGAAATATCTTGGTAGCCAATAAGTAGAGATAAGATGTGTCAAAACTTATATATGATCTAATTAAATGATGTCACCATCTTCCTTTAGAACTGAATTCTGATAGCATCATTGGTAAATCAGTAAGAGAATATATATTAAAACATGGAGCAGTTGCAACAAAGAATAATTCTCAAGAAACTGCATTCTTGTCTGTAATTGTGTTTTATTTGGGGGTGAAAATCCGTTACTACTTTAATGGAATTATGACTACATTCTCAGACAGATCCAGAAAAAGAGGAGGAGGATAGTCCTCTTGGATCAAAGGCTCCTATCTGGATTCCAGATACCAGAGCCACTATGTGCATGATCTGTACAAGTGAATTCACATTGACCTGGAGAAGGCATCACTGCAGAGCATGTGGAAAGGTTGGATATTTTTTATAACTTCCTCCTTTTCTGTTAGTCATTTAAGACTTTTGTGTTCCAGTGGAGGTGGAGTTTTGTTGTTATACATCAGCTATGCTGAGAGGCTACTGGTATTATGGTATGATACTTTAGATAAAAAACAAGATCACTTAGCATAGGAGATATGGTTGAAGCAGTACTATTTTATATTTACTTGCTGTAAAACATGGCTACTCCAATAAACCTTTGTTTGATCAAGTGATTTATTTAGTATTCAGTATAGTAAAGATATTTCTGTGTAATGGAGAAATTGTCAAGAGGATAATATAACTAGAAATGTATTATGAACATCTAAAAATAAAGCGTTCTGTTTGAAAGAACTTATTGAAAATTCTGAATGAAAGGCTTGGCAATACAGTAACAATTTGCTAATTTACAGTTTGCTAATCCAGAAATTCAGTAGTTTTTACTGATTCATATAGCCTCACTCCACTCTTCAATCTTTTTATCACTGTCCTTTTGAGTTATTCTATATTATGATTTTGTAAAGAATATTTTGAAGATCTATAGAAAATGTTGGTCACATGACACCAGTTCTAGAAGTAACATATATGGCACTCCTCTTTTGGGTTAGAATAGATATACCTTAAACCCTTCACTGTATAAAATAATTGTTTGAAGGCTGTTTATCATTGTAACAATGCTAAAATGTCAGCCTTCAAGGGGTTAGTTTTATAGGTACACATCATATACAGTAATACTTTACATGTTTCCAGATTGTTTGTCAGGCCTGTTCATTAAATAAACATGGCTTAGACTATATGAAAAACCAACCAGCAAGAGTATGTGATCATTGCTTCAGAGAACTACAGAAACAAGGTAAATTAAAATTTTACCTAACCCATCCCCCTCTCTTCCCTCATTTCTATAGCTCCTGTTATTACTGCATTTATGCATCTGTGTCTACTGCATTTTTTTTTTTATAACATGCCTGTTAGGTAAGAAGGTACTGTTATCCTGTTTTACAAATGGGGATCTGAGGCACAGATACTAAGGGTTAGATCCAAAAAGCGCTTCAGTACCTAATGTGCAGCTTATGTGGAACTTGCGTGTTTAAGTCTAGGAGAGAGATCTGCAAAACCTCACTTAACCATGTAGAACCAACCCTGTGAACTGTCAGCCATCTACGTTTTCCCTAGTTAACTTAAGTGCTTAAAGTTCTGCTGTCGTGCCATCATCTTGGTTGGACTAAGATTTTGGTGCCTATTAGGGCTGTGCAAAGCTTTGGTCGCTGATTTGATTTGGCAGAGATTCGACCCGATTTGAATTCGGAGATTCAGCTACCAAATCGAATCGGGAGACCCTTTAATCTCTCTAAATCGATTCGGAAAGATTCCACGGTTCAAACATAGACACAACTTTTAAATGTTTTTTCTACATACCTCAAGGTACCAGGCAGCTTGTGAGTGCTGAGATGCTGGGTCGGATGGAGCATCCCACAGGAGCACAGGGGAGTCCCCAGTGTGCTTGGCAGGAGACTCGAAAGTGGACCAGAAGCACTTCCAGTCTACTTCCAGGTCTGCTGGGGAGCGTGCTGGAGGCCCCCCCCCCCAGTGCCTCCCCAGCTCAGTGACTGGTGCCTCTTGGATCTGGATAGCCAAGCCAGAGAGACCCCTGCTCATGCTTGGCAGTAGACCCAGAAGTGGACCAGAAGTACTTCCGGTCCACCTCCGGGTTCACCACTGAACATGCAGCAGGTCTCCCTGTGATCCTGTGGGATGCTCTATCTGCCCCAGCATCGCAATGTTCATGAGATGTCCCTGGTACCTCGAGGTACGTAGAAAAACCATTTAAAGCTGTGTCTGTGTCCAAATCGCTGATTCTCTGAATCAGCATTGAATCTTCAGATTCTGATTTGGCTGAATTGAATCAAGGACAGTGATACAAATCAACGAATCAAATCACTGTCCCGGATTTGATTCATCTGAATCAAATAGGGCCCATTTCTCACACTCCTACTGTCTATCTAATCACTGTGCAGGAAGAGTGAGTTGGTTGGAGGAAGGAGCTGAGTACAACCTTCCTCCCTGTAGGTTGGACACAAGGAATAGCAGTGGATGTTGCTAGGAAAATACATAGAGGGGCATGAAGTGCTGTGGAAGCCCGCCAGAGAAGGGGTGTGTGTGGAGAAGATGCCCAGGGTGGTAGGGGTGGGGGGTGGAAAAACTTGCTCAGGGAGTTGAGTTAAACTTGAGGGTTAAATTGCTAGCCATCAGTTTGCTTGGTGAGGAGAAGGGAACTTGTAGAAGTCCACCCAGTGGGAAACTGATAGGTAGGGCTCACTGGTTTGGGGAGTGTGAAGAGCAGATGTTCAAGGAAAATTGAATTTGCATTTTGCACATAATGAATGTTTTCTTTGCATTTAAGACTGTAGATCTCCCTCTAGTTGTCTGATAGTGCTGTGTGTGGGCAAGGGGAGTTCAAAGACAATACAACAAAACCATGACGTGAGGTTTTTTAAAAAAACACGGCTTTTCAGTCATGATTTTTTTTTTTTATGGATTCTGACACTTTTTTTTTTTAACTTCTAGAGTTGTTAGCATTGGCTGCTGAGAAGCAAAATTCCTATTAAATTTCATATATTTAGGAAATTCAGTTTAATTCAGCTGTGTTTTATGCAGTGTGTCAGAGAGGTATTTTGTTTCGAAAGCATAGTTGACATACATTGACCAGAAATGTCAGTTCTCGTTTTAAACTTTTTTTAAGGAACTCTGTAAATATCTTAATCATCTGCAAAATTAAAGCCCTCTACTTGTTATATCATTTTTAGATAACCAGTGCACTCCAAAGAGTGGATCTCCAGTGACCCATAAATCTCCATCCAGTGCCTTGTCAACAGTATTGCATAGTATTCCATCTGGAAGAAAACAGAAAAAGATTCCTGCT